AGCCGCCTGATGGACCAGCTGTTCGATGGCGACGAAGAAACAAGTAACTCCCCTCCGGTCAAGAGGGAAGTGAGTCAACTCCCGGAAAGACCGGAGTCTCGGTCATCGCCTGATTCCGTCGTTCCCAATCCGTTTTACAAAATCGACAAAGCCCGCGAAACCCAACGTCGACGTAGTTCTCAGAAGCAGATATCTAGCACTAAGGAAGGAGACTCAACAATGGATTATGTGTCGGCAGTGGAATTCCCTTCTTCATCTCCACGCCGGTCAGCGAGGGTGAGGAAGAGGAAGTCTTACCCGTCGCAAGATGATTTATTGGTCAGCGCCCCCATGGGAGGTGTTCCACGGGGCAAGCAGAAGATTCCAGGCGCTCAGGACTCCTCCGCGTCCCACGAAATAATTGACTTGACTCAAGCCAGCCCTGCACGGTCTGCCGGAGGCAATGACCAGGATTTTACTCGGACCCGTCGGCTTTCTCGAGACCCGGGATGGGTGCACAAGAATATCCCCAGCACCCGCAGACAAACCCGGTTGTCATCAGCGGGGCCAAAAGTAGATGTCATGAAAGAGGTCAGCATCAGTCCATCACCCCGGCGGGGGGAAAAGCGCAGGCCAAAATCCTGAGCGAATGGCGGCTTGATCTTTCCTTGTTGGTTGGTGCATTCTTGCGCCATGAGAGGCTAGTGCTAGTGTCTGGCATTGATGGTTCTGGACCCCCCAGAGGCTTGTATTAGTATCTATATGTGTGTGTGTATATGTGTGTGTTTATGCTATGGTACATATGAAGAGATATCCTGTGTATAGCTTACGTTAGTAAAAAGGATGAAGGATGGCGTTGATGACGTCTGACAAAACCTGGTCGTTGATTGGTTGACCGTTTACGTCATGGCATTACTATCAATACTACAGTAAATGAACGAAATCAATACTATGAAATAATCATGATCAGAGAGGCAAGAGAACAAATGATCCAGATCAAGGCAACCCCTCCTCTCTCCTTCTCTCTATAAGCTTTAGTACATCCAATTCCCTTACGGAACCAGTATCAGACATCTAGATAATTTCCACACTACCTTCCCACCTGACCTAAGAAGGTACTCTTTCAAATCCATTGAACTCGCCCAATCCTAATGCACGTACCCCTCTCTCGCGGGGCACGCAACAGCTTCTCATCGCCTGTTTTCTACTCGCTATCCTCTCCTCGTCATATCCTGCTTGCCTCTTCTTATTCTCCCTTCCATTCCCGCTGCCGTTGTGGTTGTCGCAATTCTACCTTCTGTTCTTGCGCGTGCTGCACCCATCCAACTTCACCCCCCTTAGCCCACTCACGCCGCTTCACGTCCGCTAGGTCATCATCGTCTTCTTCCCTTTGCTCTCCATCTACCCCATTCCCGTCTAGACGTCTCATACTACCTACCGAGAAAACTTCCATTCATATTCGGCCATTCTCTTCAACACAATCTTGTAAACTCTCACACACCACCGCAAAAATGGCACAAGAATACAAACTCAAGGACATCTCATCCCTGGCGGACATCAAGGAAATGGACAAGGTGGAGTCCGAAGTGGAGGGCATAGAGGATGGTAAGGTCCTAGTGGTGAACTATGAAGGTCAATTTCATGCCATGAGTCCTAGATGTACCCACTATGGAGCGCCATTGAAACTTGGTGTTGTTGCTCCGGAGGGACGGATTACTTGCCCCTGGCATGGAGGTAAGTCTGCCTCGTTTGGCTTTGGTTGAGAGGACACCGTGGACTGATTATCATCCGTAGCATGCTTCAATATCAGCACCGGCGATGTTGAGGACGCACCCGCTCCCAAGGCTTTGCATAAGTTTGATGTCTTCGAGAAGAATGGTGCGGTCTATATCAAGGGAGAGGAATCGACCATTAAGTCCGGTCAAAGGGATCCGGTTGCCCAGTGCAGTGCTTCCGCTCCAGAGAAGCTAGTCATTGTAGGAGGGTAAGATCTCTGAACGTATGCATCATTCCTAGTGGCAGTAGATCTAACACCAAGCAGTGGAAGTGGTACTTTTGGTGTCGTCGAGGCCATTCGCGAGTTGAAATACAAGGGTGACATCACCATCATTTCTCGAGAACCCAATCTGCCTATTGACAGAACCAAGTTGTCCAAGGCTCTGATCTCAGATCCTTCGAAGATCGAGTGGCGCCCTCGTGAGTGGTACGAGAGCGTCTCCGTCGAAACTGTCACTGATGAAGTGACGTCGGTGGACTTCAACAAGAGGACTGTGGCCACTAAATCGGGCAAGACATACCCGTACACCAAGCTGGTACTTGCTACTGGTGGTGTGCCACGCACTCTCCCCGTGGAAGGCTTCAATGACCTAGGCAACATCTTCCTCCTGCGCTTTGTCACCGATGTACAGTCCATCCTCAAGGCAGTAGGCGAGAAGAACAAGAAGATCGTCGTCATTGGTAGTTCATTCATTGGTATGGAGGTGGGCAACGCACTCGCCAAAGAGAACGATGTCACCATTGTCGGTCAAGAAAAGGCCCCTATGGAGCGCGTCTTGGGTGAGGAGGTCGGTCGAATCATTCAAGGTAATCTGGAGAAGGCGGGTGTCAAATTCAAGCTGCAGGCCGGCGTTGCGAAAGCCACACCTTCTAGTTCGGACTCTAGCAAGGTCGGGGCTGTCCATCTCAACGACGGCGCCGTCCTCGAAGCCGACTTAGTCATTTTGGGTGTCGGCGTACGTCCAGCAACCGACTTCCTCAAAAACAATCAGGCCATTACTTTAGAGAACGACGGTTCAATCAGAACTGATGAGCATTTCGCTGTCCCTGGTTTAGACAACCATGTCTTTGCTATCGGTGACATTGCCACATACCCTTATCATGGCCCCGGGACGGACCCAAAGGGCACCCACACTCGCATCGAGCACTGGAACGTTGCACAAAATGCTGGCCGCGGCGTCGCCCGCGCTATTGTTCATAGCCTCGCAAACTCAGCCTCATCGTTACAATCCCTGAAACCGAAGGCCTTCATCCCAATTTTCTGGTCTGCTGTGGGCGCTCAATTACGGTACTGCGGTAATACCCCCAACGGCTGGGATAGCCTCGTTATGAAGGGTGAGCCCGAGAACGCCAAGTTCGCCGCGTACTACTGTAAGGGCGATACAGTGGTCGCTGTTGCGACAATGGGCATGGATCCCATTATGGTGAAGTGCGCGGAGTTGATGCGCCGGAAGAATATGCCGTCTAAGTCGCAGATTGAGAATGGTGTTGATGTCTTGAAAGTAGGATTGCCGGAAGGTATCAGGATTTAACTAGCATAGACTGCTCGCAATAGTACAGTTTATTGGTTGTTTTCAATTCATGAGTGAGCTGGTTAGCTGAATTTGTAAAGGTTTGTATGGTTACCTATTTATATATATTATTAGCTTGTTGCACCATTTGATCAAAAAGCCAGCGTTGTCGATTGGTCAAGCTTTGTATAAGAAGTTCATCCCGCGGATATATATCTTCCGTAAGGGTCGCATATATGATTCCAGAATAAGTTTTGATTTCTCCCTCTAACGCCCAACATGATAATAATATAGAACATGGAATGCTAACTTCTATACACAAACATAACTTGATTGAATTTAATCGAGACGGAGTAAGCTCAGAGTTAAACTCGATTCATAGGTCATTTCTCCTTCTTTTCTTTCTTCTTGGACTTGGACGATTTGGATTTCTTCTCCTTCTCGGCCTTCGGCTCCTTGGTCTTGCTGGGAGTATCTGGTTCTGGGATAGCAGCTACCGATGGCGCTGCTAGTGCGCCGGACATGGAAACCCGGGGTTCTTGACTAAGTCCCCTCCGTGGGGTGGCAGACGTGGTCAAGACACCATTACGCTCATCTTCAAGCACTCTCGCTTCTTCCTCCGGGGAGAGCATCGTGCCCTCAATGCTAAGAAAACTGCGATCGCGCTCCGAACCGGGGATGACGTCGACATCGACGACCCGGAAACGGACAGTGCCGCGTACACGGTGACCAGATACAGACTGGAAGTAGCCCTCTGCAGCAGACTCATCGTCCTCAGCATTGACTTCTTCATTGAGGGTGTCGGAGACGGGGTTTGCCAACGAGACGGGGTTGAAGTGCTCTTTTTCTTGATCGAAAGAGGCAGACGGTTCGGATTCATCATCTTCGGATGCGGTGGTTGTTTTTTGCTGGTCTCCGCTGACGCTGCCTTCTTCGCCTGGTGGGACCCATTTCCAGTTCGAGGGGAGTCTCTTGCGCTCAATACCGACGGAGAAGAGGTTGAGCACAACGGCGCCCAGGAAGCCTTCGGACTGGACGTTGACCCATCCTTCGAGAATTTGACCTCTCTGTGGCCGGAAAACCAGAAATGTTGCAGTCAGGTAAACGTACAGCACGCCGTATTCGCCTGCTGTCTTGGCGAGTGTTAATGGTTTCGGATTGGGATCTGCGGGATCAGAGGACGTAGATGGGGATGGCGGAGTACTCGATATCGAGGCATCAGAGTAGGCCAGTACAATTCCTTGAAGTGGAGCGTAGTAAGTAAGAAGGAGAGGGGAGAGATGTTCTGCCAGAAGAGAGGCTTTAGCATGAGTCGGGGAAATCGAGATGGGCGATAGAGGAAGATAGAGCGTTGCGGTGGTCAGAACATAAGGCGAGTCTGGAATTGCTGTTTCTTCTGTGCCGGCCTGTTTGATCTTCGTCTTATCCTTAGACTTCTTGCTCTTTTTCTTCTTTCCGCTGTCATGAGCGGCAGTTTCGTCGGTGAATTGGTTCGATTCGTGCTTGCGCTTCTTCTTTGACGGCGATGAGGATGATACATCCTTGTTCTTGTGCTTGCGCTTGCGCTCTTTTTCAGGGGAAGGTATGGCAGTTGGGACCTGGTCCGAATCAATTTCCATCGCGTCGACGGCCATTGTGTTCGATCGTGGCGCAATGGGTGCGCCTGTGAAGTATCTTCGAGAATTGATATCCGATTGATTTTCAGATGTCGAGAACTTTTTTTTTTTTTTTCTTTTCCTTCTTTGCTCATGTGGGGAAACAGAAGGCGGTGATTAGGGCGGTAAGTTTCAAGGCAGTCGCCAAGTCGCAACTCCATGAAAGACAACATGCGATAGTGCTCCATGGCGCTAACTCTTTTGTATAAAATCAAAAGTGGTTGATTTCTCGTGCTGCCTACAGGCACGGGACTGTAATATCTCCATGGCTTCTCTGTTGTCTCTTGCTGGTTGGGCATTTCTACCAAATGTGAGTGTTATCTTCACCTTTCCTTCTTCCCAGGTTCCCGTTAAGCCCCATGCAGCACGCTATGGCCATTACTGACAACGTGGGATACAGTATGCGACTTCCATAGTTCAGAATATTTACTACGGAATTACCATTCGCGCGGGTGAACCTCGACCCCAACCCCCCTCTCCGCGCTATGCACGACATCGCCGTCGCATCTTTATACTGGTTGTGACAAGCTATCTCCTCTACACGCTCTATGAGACATTTCATCGGGTCCAGGCTGCCGGTGATTTTTACAAAGCACTTGGAGTCTCTCCACTGGCCGATGATAGGACGATTAAAACGCGATTCCGGCGCCTTGCGGCGCAGCATCATCCAGACAAGTTTAACCAAGGGGATGGCATCCCTTCCGACGACTACTTTGTATATTTAAAGTTGGCGCAAGAGACCTTACTGGATCCTGCGAAGCGGTTTGCATATGATAGATTTGGACCCGATATTCTTGGTTGGGGTAATGTCAAGACCGTGCAAGACTTTCTGTTTAGGGGTTTACAACGGTCGATACCGCAGTATGTGGGAGGATTCGTGACCATTGTCATCTTGAACTTCACCTGGTGGGCCAACTGGGGTCGTTATGTGAGTGATCACCTTCTGTTGCTGCTTGTCTCCTCCTAACCGTGCACAGTGGCGCTTCTTTACTTTTGCTGCCTTGATCACTCTTGAACTAGCTTTGATCACGCAGCCAAGAGCGTTATTCTTCCCTGCATCCTATATCCCTGTGGAGCTACAAAAGTTGCTGGGCATTTCTACGAAGACGCCGAGTTTCTATCTCCTACCATTTCAGATCTTGACTCTTGCGCAGCGTGCCTCCGTAATGCTACATATCTTTATTTCGCAGGTGACACCGCCAGAGGTCAGCAAAGGGTCGTCTTCCGCAGCGGGTGAGCGTATCCACCCGCAGACCATGCAGCGCCTCGCGCAATTAGCTCAGCTCTCTCGGGCTACAGACGGCGAGTCGACGCGGCTGTTGCAGCTGGGATTTGCGCCATTTAAAGGCGATCGGGAGAGCGTTGCCACGCTGCGCAAGGGCATGAAGGAGGGGCTAGTCCTGAGCAGTGTACGAGCTAGTCCAGGGGTGCAGCAAGCTGTCGGGGAGGTGATTGAACGGAAAAGGCAAGACAAGAAGGCCGATTAGCGCTGGAGTTGAGGATGAGCGGTTAATTGTACATGTATTCAAGTGATTCGGCGACATTATATCTGATAAGCTCATTACAGGTCATGAACTGTTATAGAGATTGATATTCTCGATGTAGATGGGCACCGATAGTATTAGATATTGTACATTGAAAGATTTTGATGTGAGATGGGAGGTGAGGCAATTTCGCCCCAACTTGCAGGTTCCCAGGACTCGGATTAATATTGAGCCCTTTAATTCCTATCTCGTTCGATTACTTGAGCAAATAACTCTCGGCGGTTGGGGATTATCAATGGGAACGGATAGCCCGGACATTAAGCCCGTTTCCCGGTCATTGCGCGGTTTTCTGATTTAGTAATTCGAGTGCCTTGTGTGATTGTGTTCCGTTTGTGGCGAACCGGTCGGGAGAGATTTCTTGGTTCAAGTCTTACTACCTTTTTACTTAGTACTAGTCACGTAGGGTAGTCGTTTTAGTTTCCTGAATAGGCATCATCATATGTGCCCCCGGTCATTTTTGGTCTATCATCTGACAACACAAACACAACGGATGTTTCTACTCGGTCCACTTAATAGTGTAGAAATATCATCGGTCTCGTACATATCAGGTGTTATGTCGAGTACTCTGTATAGAAGGTCTCTATCCTGCTAAAAAGGGTACGAATGATCCAGGTTAGGTCATCCCCCGAACGAGTCTCTTTACTGTGTAGTCCTTTCTATCTTTTGGATCGGTAATTACTTGTTGGAAATGAATACCCGTACTCCATACCTGCGAAATAAACCCGGACGGAAGCGGTGGAAGTTCGTGCCAAAAAGTCTACCTCACTAATAAGCGGGACTGGCGATCCATAACTTGATCGATGGGAAGAGAAAAAAAAAAAGGTGTAACTTGTAAGATGGATACGAGTCCTATTATAGATATACAGTTCATTCGTTTTCTTTTCTTTTGTTGTTCCTCGGTAGGATTAATAGGTATATATTACTTTCAATACTCTCCCACTTCTTTCTCAGATTTTAGGATGAATGGAACGACTTAATTTAACTCGGCTGGGCATGGAGCATGGGGAGGAGTCCACTTCCTCTGTCTAGGGAATGAGACTGTTGTTCATGGATAGTAAAGCGCTTATTGAATCCAGTCAGTTAGCAGAATTAGAAACCAATCAGTAAGGGTAAGATAAAAAAAAATATGAAATATTAATAGATACGTATACTAAAGAATATGTACTGTATAGGCCTAGTTAGTAGATGACCTAGGTAGTATAGAATGAATTGAATTAAACGTCCCATACAGTCAGAAACCCCCGACCGATGACGTTTCCTTAACCACCAGTCACGGAAGCCACGCGTAAGAAACGGTACGAGACGCGAGGGCGGTAAATTTCCTTAGGGTGATTCGGTCCGCAGAAGGTTCAGCTTCTCGTCTCCTGAACAGTCACTGGACTGACCGCACAGAGAGAGCGTGTGAAAGTCTGGCTGTTCCCTTCTTAGTAGACGAGATGAACACACACCAACAATGAAACCACCACACGGCGCATCCCCATCCCTTTCTTCCATCCCCCGTCCTTTTTCTTTCCCTCCGCCCCTCTCCCTCTCTTCCTCCTCTCCTATCCTCTACCATCCCGCTTCATCATCGTCACTATCCAACCGGACTATGTCACTCGTGCCTCGCTCCTCTTGTCTCCATCAGCCTTGTCAAACTTTTGCCTCACCCTGACCAAGTCGCGCCGCCGCGTTTGACGTCTGGAACCACTTCTCCAACCAACCAACCTGTCTGTTACCCACGTCACAATCGCCATAAAATAATATCCAACTTTCTACCGTCCACCAACACTGCCACTCCGCGTCTCAACGGCTTTTACTTCCCCTTCACACCCATCGGGGCTGATTGTCATTTCTTCTACCCTACCCTCTTAAAATCGACATCGGCAGATTATCCATTGAGCTGAAATGCCCGCTGCTACTGCCACCAACGGTCGCTCCAGTCGGTCTGGGCCCTCTTCGAAAGGGGTCGTTGTACTCAAGCTCTCGTCGGACTTGTTAAGTCGCTTTGCCACTCCTCCTCCCCCAGAGGTTAAGGACAGGAAGAAGAGTAGCATCAAGGACGACGAGTCTAGAGCCGTCTCCCCCATCAAGGAAAAGGAACCCTCCTCCCCGGCGTCATCTTCCGTGGAAGCACCTATCCCTCCGTCCGACAATGCATCGGATGCTGCATCTACACCGGCCGCGGGCACTTCGGCTGCCGACACCCCCCGTCGCAAAGGTGTACCTGGTCCTAAGCCTGGAGTCAAACGAGCTCTGAACCAGACAAGCGAGACAACCCCTAAACCGAGAGGAAAGCCTGGTCCGAAGAAGAAGCCCAGACTGTAGGTCTTTGTTTTCACCCTAGCTGACACTGCAAACGGCACATACTAATTTGGGGGCGAATAGTGACGACGGTACCTCTGAACCCGTCAAAATTGCAGCATCCCATAGGTTGGGGCCCAAAGCCAACACCGGCGCCATTAATGCGGGCCTTCGCGCCCTTGATCGTTCGGGGGCTCCATGCCGCAAATGGGAACGCAAGTCTTTGCAACTGAAAAGCTTCACTGGAATCCAGTGGCAGCTGCCGACCTGGCGAACTCCTCGACCTCAGAAAACAGACGACAATGGCGAAATTAAGGAGTCTGTCTTGGAGACCGGTGATAGCGATAGCAAGGCGAATCAAAGCGCCAGCGGAGTTCCTAGCGAGAAGAGCAACTCTGGTGATGGAGACCTAACGCCGGTCCCTCCAAATATCGCAGAGGTATCTTCGCCTGCCATTGCTATGGCCGCATAGGCTCCAAACCCATAATCTGATTCGGCCATTCGTGTACATTATTTTCACTCTATCTTTTATTTTCCATGGTTTCTGGAGCGTTGTTTACATGTTCAACCTATGTATGGTCTGGATTGGCGTTTGGGAAATTCTATTCTTTCGCTCCCATACTGGGCTACCTTCTTTATTCGTTGTCATATCTAGCCACTGACAGAGAAGTTTCACCTGCTCCTGGCTTTGTTGGCCAGAGTTTGCAGGCTCAATCGCCTTTTGATTTGTCTTTGTCCCTCTATAGTTCTTTGTTTGTACTATTATGTTTGCTGGATTTGGGATTCTACGCAAGATCTGAGTTACCCTCTCTACCAAGGTCATGTGGGGGATGTTTATTGTATGCAGGAAAACGTTGGGAATATATCTACAGATGCAACCGGGTTGCGCACTCGGAGTATCAGTAGGGTAGGCAAGGAGTTTACGATCCAAAGTGATTCATCTAGAATGAACGAGTTTTGATATTCACGTTTTCTTAGATCGACCGATTCTACTCCGTAGGGTTCATTCTTTTTCTCTTTTGGCCAGCCATGAATGTAAGAGATGATAGTGGCTTTTCAATGTTTGATGTAACATCTCATCTGGAGCGGACCCGAAACCCTAGCCGTCTTGGTGGCCGGTAATTGTAGGAGTGATTGCTGACCAGGGAGGAACAGATCAGCTGCTAGCCTAAGCCGGATGATGGATGCATAATTATTAGGAGGGGGTCTCAGCAAATCATGCTGAATATGCTGGGATATGCGGACACCGTCAGAGGAGTCTTGTTGCATGGATATATATAGTAGAAGTGCGCTCATGAGTACTCTAATCCCGGACTCAATTTGGTAGAATCATAGCTGGTTAACTGCAAGGTGGTAGTAGAGGATTCCCCTTCATCTCTCCCCGTCGAAAGTGCAGTCAGTACCAGTAGTAATAAAGTACTAGTACATACATCATGGAGGTCGATGTACCTATGAATACTTTTTTCTTTACTCTTCTCCAGAAGCTCTGGGCGCCCGTGCTTTTTTCCCTTCCCTCCCCCCGCAGTCACATTCCTGTCATGCCATCATGTTCTTTTCCCTCTTAGTAAACGAATAGACTGAAACCCATGGCCCCGTGACTCTTTCCCTTGTAGTACGGAATTAGACAACTTCCTGAGGCATTATTGTCTCTCCTTCCTTTTCCCGTCACACAAGACGCTTCCTAAATTCCCATTCTCTAGTCTTCTCCCAACTTCATTGTAACTGCGAATCCCAGTCTTTCCTTAGATTGGGTGATTTTATTCCTCTTTCAAATATTCTGATACCGCCGAGAGATCGTCTTGAAGTACTTTTTTTTATAGAGTCAACAGCGAATATTAGGCGTCTGGTTGTTGTGCTCCACTGCCGTTTACGGAAAACCAAGTGACCCGTCCGTGAGACCATAATCCAAAAGAACGCAGACAAGAGTAAAAGAAGACGCAGAAAATATAGTCGAAGCAAGTTATCAATAAATGTTGACAAATGCCACGCATTTCACTATCGCCACAGTCATTCGAGTTTCGAGAGACACTCGCGTGAGAGTGTTGTGTATGTTCGTCGACCCTCCCCGCTCATCACTAAGTACCCGCCCGCCGTTGACTTTGGCTCCATCCAACGAACGACTCCAATATGACCGATGCACCATTTCCCCCGTCCAGTGGAGCTCGAGGAGCTCCTGTAGCCACCACATATTCCGGCCCAAGCCTCTCTACCATCCCCCGTCGTTCATCCTACGCTTCCGTCCTGTCTGGAACTGCGCTCTCGCCACCAAGCAATAGTGGTCCGTTCTCGCAACTGCTTACTTCGAACTCCACTTCTTACCCCCCACCATTTCATCCCGACGGCCGCCATCTGAGGCCATCCGCAGACCTGGATGCAGACATGCAGATGAACTCCCCATGGAGGATGTCGTCCGGCGATACACTTCCTCCTTATTCCCGAAAATACGCCAGCTTCACTCGTTCTGATCCCTTCCCCCAAAATCCCGGCAGCTTCTCCGACGTTGCATCGTCTTCATTTACACCATCATACCTGCGCAACTCCAGGTACATCTCCCGCCTCGATGCAGCTCGTCGAGCCAAGCTGGCGTCCCAACGGGATGCAATTTATTCTTCGTCAACGTCGAATCCCATTTCTACCTCCTCCAGCCAGGCGAGCTTGCCGCGTATAACACCATCCCATCGTGGGATGACCTATGATATCATCGAGAGGGAACCCCCTGGCGATGACGAACACGTTATGCCGCTTCCTTCACAGTGGAATGACGGAGACAAATATTCTGGTCTGGAGCTCACAAGCGGGGGATTGGAGGTCCGTTATACCGGCCCAGTCAATAAACACGACCATGAAGCTGCTGCCGTGCGTGCGGATAACCCGATGCCGCCGCAGTGCGGGATCTACTATTTTGAAATTACGATTTTATCCAAACCTAAGGAGGGGTATGTTCACACCACTTTTAGAAGGAGATGATTGTCTTCCTTTTCTCTTCCATTTCTCTGTCCGTCTTTTCTTTCTCTTCTGGGAGATATACTTACCGTAACAGAATGATCGGGATCGGGTTCTCCAGTAATAAAGCGTCGGTTGAGCGTCTCCCGGGATGGGAGCAAGAATCCTGGGCGTACCATGGTGATGATGGCAAGTCATTTTTCGGTGAAAGTCAAGGGCAAGGACGACAATACGGTCCTACCTTTGGTGTAAACGATACCGTGGGCTGCGGTGTCAATTTTTCGACGGGTTGTGCATTTTTCACTAAAAATGGCGTGTTTCTGGGTAATGACCTCGCGACAGGTGAAATTCTCAATGAAAGCTAACGACAGCTAGGTAATGCCTTTCGGGAATTGCGAAACCTAAAGGTCTACCCCTCGGTGGGCATGAAAAAACAGCCCCCTGTGCATTTGGCGGCAAACTTTGGCCAACATCCGTTCATGTTCGACATTGATGGCATGGTTAAGGTGTGTAGTGTGCATCTTGGCGGCAGTCTGGATATTACTGATCAAATGCAGAAAGAGAAATTTGCCATTCACTCAGAGATTCGTGCCACCAGCACCGCTAACCTACAGCCACCCTTAGATGAGTCTGCCTTGCTCCAAGAATTGGTTGCACAGTTCCTGGCTCATGACGGATATGTTGAAACGGCTCGGGCTTTTGCAGAAGAGGTCGCTGCAGAGTCGGCAGCGCTGCAAAATGGGCGTACGGAGCCACTGAAGAAGTATGAGGTAGAGGAAGATGTTGAAGCGATCAACCGGCAAAGTGCGGCGTTCCCGACTTTATTAGATAACTTGCACTAACTCTACGCAGAGATTCGAGCAGCGATATTGGATGGCGATATCGACAAGGCGCTGAAGTATACTAATGCTTATTACGCCAATGTTTTGCAGAACTTCCCTCATATTCACTTCAAGTTACGATGTCGGAAATTTTTGGAGATGATGCGTAGATGCAACGAGCCCTCTTGGGCTGCATCGAAGAGAGAGAAGTCATCTAATGGCCTTGCTGATGGCAGTGCCGTTTTCGACGAAGAGATGGAGCTTGACGAACAAATGCACCACGGTGGCGGCTGGAACGCTGACGGAATGGATACGGAAGAGCCCGAAAACGCTGCGAAGTTCAACGAGCTCCTCACCGAAGCCGTCCAGTATGGGCAACAATTACGTCTAGATTATCCGAATGACGAGCGCGGAGGGAACAAGAAGATGCTGGATGACATTTTCTCGTTGGTGGCGTATCCTGATCCGAAGCAGTCAGTCCACGGGCATTACCTGGACCCTGCAGGCCGCATTGCCGTTGCAGAGGAGTTGAATTCGGCGATTTTAGGTACTTCCCTCCGATCATTTGTTGTTCGTGCGAAGTGGATCCTGACTAACCTACGTGTAGTTTCACTTGGCAAATCATCATCAGCAGCTCTGGAGCGGCTTTACCAACAGACAGAAGTGCTGGTCAATGAAATCAGTGAAGAAGGCGGCGCTGGGGCGTTTATTAATGTGCGAAATGATTTTCTGCTTTGAATCCTTCAGCAGCATGTTTGGGACTGATTACTTGATTATTTTGTGAACGTGGCACATGAAGACTGGTAACCTTTTCTTCCTTTCTTTTTTTTAATCCATCTTCTTTTTTCATTTTCCCTGAATGTCTATTGGTGGCCCTGCACAACTCCTCTGTCTTGACTTTTTTTTTTTTTTTTTATTTCCCGGTCAGGTTGATCTGATCATCGTCCTGAGATACTTTGAGTTTGCTGTGTTCATATACACGAACCTAGATAAGTATGACGCTACAGGTACATACAGTAGTAGCCATGACTGGTAATAATTTCCCAATTCAATTCCAAATCCAATCGATAGAGTTTTTCCTAAAAAAATTTTCTCTTGCCGAAGGCAATGTGCGTGGAGGCGCATACGGATGATGTTCCGGAAGAATTACCACGAGTGGTGAATTGTGATATCTTATGTTCCGATTTCTACCAGAGTCACTCCACTCGTGGCTGCACATCAGTGACGATCGGGGAAGGCTTACTACTAAGTTGGCCTAGTCGGGTCCATCGCCTACCACCAACTTGGCCTGTGAGCAGGCTTATGTAGGTCAGAATCAGGTTGCGTGGTTTCATGACAACTGTGAGGCGATGAGTGGTTTCATTCTTTTTCCCTTACATCCATGTGTCTCATCACTGCAAGGTAGACGAACAGGTAGCACTACCTCAATATTTTCGTTCCTCCAGTACAGTACCTGCAAGTAATGGTAATGTAAATGAGGCGAGTGATACCCGCTATCATCTGCGTAACTCGTGAAAAATTGCGGGTAATGAACCGTGTGTGACTGTAACTCTCTTTGTAGCCAATCAGCGCTCCGATGGAAGCCTTATCGACAGTCTTCTCCGCCTTTTTCTCTCTCTGCCAAATAAAACCACCCGTCACTCTTTCCAAGTTACCTTTCCATTCATAGTTTACGACTGTCAACTACGATCCATTAACAATAGCCATCGGAGGGTTTTCCTTTACATGGCTTTTCAACTGAGTTTTATGGTGGAGATGTACTGATCTCATTTCCACCCCTCATTGACCCCTCAGATCCACTGGGAACCGACAGCTCAGCTCGATGATTTGGCGCCTCCGCTCTAGCTAGCCACTCCAAGGGGTGCCAACTCACACACAGTCTTGGGCAAAGTCGCATTCTAATCCCAGCCATGGCATCCCGTCCGCATAGCCCGGTTCCTGCTAGTCAGGTTCCATGCATTCCTACCCACTCCTCATCCACTCCGACGGCTCTGCGCTGTTGCTGTGGCCGGAATGATTGTACATTCCTGCAGCACAATAATCTGGCCCTGGAGGGGTTGGAAAAGGATCTCGCTACGGCTGCTCGATTGGGTCAGGTACGTTCCTTTGTCGGCGCTTTGGGTCGAAATCAGGCCTCTGCGTCATCATTCCGTTATCTTCGATGCATCCATATTTATGGCTTCCGTTCCTTTGCTTTTTTGTCTTCATGGCTCGATGTCTGTCAGCATACTTTGTACTTGTACATACTTGGGGTTCCTTGAGAGTACATAGATCGTCGTACTCGCAGCCCCCACAGTCTGTTTTTACTTTCCCCCTGTCACATTGTTTGTACTCCGTTGGAATTTGGACCCTCCTTTCGTTACCTTTGCGAAAGGACGTTGGGCTGCAGTTATTGAGAAAAGGCAAAAAAAGGGAGAGAGAGACGACCTGTCAACCTCGTGTCACCCATGGCGACTGTAACGACCGCTAGGTCTCCCATCCTCTCCCATTGTGTTGTTGTCCGTCATGGCCGCCTTCCAAGATAACGCTGTCACGGCGTTCGCTTCAACGAACTCGTCGTCACTAACGTTTGCATTACAGGCTTTACTACATCGCCATGAATCCTACATGGCCGAGGCTGAGGAGGATCGTCGTCGGTTCCTCACCAGTATCGAGAACCTGGAACGCGAGAAACGTGAGGTGCAGGTCGAAAATGCCCGCATCATCGAAGAGAACCGCGGGTTGTTGGAACAGCTGGACGCTTTGAACAAAGCTGTTGCTGATGCAGATTCTCATACCAAGTCTCTTGAAGTTAGACTAGAGCATTCTGAAGCTGAGCTTCGCAAAGTGACGGTGTCAGCTGCCCGTGCAGCTGACCTCGACGCCCAATTGGTTCAGATGGAGAATGAACAATCCAAGCTCCATGAGAGCCTGGAGTCAGCTGAAGAAGAGTCAAGATCGGCGGTCCAGCGATGGAAGAAGGCAGAAAGTACTTTAAGAGATCTTCATCATCAAATCGACCGCATTGAGAAGGAGGCACGAGAGGAACGCGAACGCCATACCGAAGCAGTCCAGCGTATGGAGCGAAAACGGACCGTTGAACGGGAGCTGGATGGCGCTGCTAGACGGCTAAAGGGAGCCGCGGCGACTCATGACTTGGGCAGGAATCACGGCGGAACCGTGGTGTCCCGCTTTGTCCGGGACATATTACAGGATAATGCCAATCTGCAATTGGGAATCGTTGAATTGCGGGAATTGCTGGAGAGTTCGAATCAAGAGGTGCAGTGTCTGCGGGATCAGATCATTTCGCACCAGTTGGTCCCCATGACAGAAGGCGATGGGCAAGTGCCACAACTTGCACCGACGTTGAGTCAGGAACTTGAGTCCAAGGAACCGCGTCGAGCACCGCAAGAGTTTCACATTCACCACCATTATCATACGCCGGCTATCAAAAAGGAGAGACCCACACTTTTCCGACGTTCCAAGAACAGGCACACCTGGGGGCATCCAAATACTGTCCACTCTCCTTCTGGTACAAAATTAGCTCGCAAACCTACGCACCGGTCGCAATCTTCTCATTCTTCTGCGTCCACTATGATGTCTCAGCCCCCCGTACAAATTCCCTCGGCTTCTAAACGCTGGTCCTTGCAGTCGCCTGGAGCTGAGTCCATAGCAAGCTCACCTCAATCCGGATATCGGTCATCGTCTATATTTGATAGGGTAGAGCGTGGGTTTGATTCCTCGCGAGCTACTAGCCCCGACAGCACAGCCTTTTCGCCATTAAGGGTTAGTCGACGAAGAAGCAGCTTCTATGATGCTAGTTTTCGATCTCCTGAAACGGATATTTCGGTCGATCCTGTGGATGATAGCGTTTTCAACAAGGGTCTTGGGGATGCGTACCAGCCTGTTATACCGGAGGAACGAGAGGACTCCGTGCATTACGCCACTTCTGAGAGAGGCTTTTCTCCTGCGCCTGATGATGTATTTGCCTCTCCTTATCGCTCAAGGCGCAAGCAATCGCATGAGAGCTTGTTCTCTGTTGCAGGCATGGACATCCATACTCCCAGTCGACGTCCATCGCGGATGGAGGATATCTCGAGGCCCTACTCTGCTCGCGTCCCGCGCCGTATCTTTTCTAGTAACGATCGGTTCTCCAACCCAGTTCTCTCAACGAGCACAGTCACCGCCAATAGAGAGCCTTCGAAAATTGACCAGTCTTCGCAAGCGCTACTTGCTTCAATGGCTGCTAGTAGGCATTCCGAGACAGGGTCAGCAACAAGTGGCCACTCAGACCCTACTGGGACACCTACTCGAAAAATTTCCCTCACCCGCCGTGTAGGCGGATGGATGCGAGAGCATTTGGGAAATACACCCACAACGGCCATTGGCGACACACAACCTCACCAAGAACAGCCAATATTATCGACGTCACAGGTATCGCCAGATACGACACCCCCATCCGCTGCGAATAGAAAGCCAGACCCCAAGGCTGACACCGTTCCGAGCCTGCGTTATCGGTACCCTGGCGTGAACCAAAAAGGCCCAATCATGGGTTTTCGGCCAACCTCCCGAGCCCCTTTTGCTATTCATGCCGAGGCAATCGATGAGGGCCTGTTGAGAGAGACTTTGGCAGAGTGAGGCACGGATGGTATCAACAGTAGTGTTCTGGTCCACTGTGCACAGTTTGATTTTTTTTATACCATTTTCTTTCATGCTACGGCAGGGATGAGCTGCATGTTCGTATATGGGCAGCCCTAGTGGCTTTTACACTCCTGATCGATTAGCGAGTATATACTTGGCGTCTCTCTTTGCTTCCATGATACCCCAGCGGATATTCCTTATCATTACAGACTGTTACACTTTCCATATAGTGCTCTGTATAGGAAGGCTCAATACAGTATATAGCAGAATCTTTATAATATCTTAAGGATACTTCTTTGTTATTGGCCCATTGATAGGTTCAGCTACCCGTAAGCGTAAATAAGTTCTTTCTCGTGAGCATGGAATCTTTTGCGAAAAGGCTGTCTACCTCGTGACCCGGTAGGTTCGAATTGGGATCCCGGTCTCATGGAAAAAACCGGTCTGGTTCTCCGTCACTGGCGACTCAAACGGTAGACACACTGCTTTAAAACGGTTGTTGTCTGCGAAATAGTCAGTGCCCTAACCCTGCCCCAAAGCAGTACTATCGAAGGGAGCAAATACCACAAGCATCGAGAAACGCCTGGAAGGTCTGCTGGTTCCGTAATGTAGCTGAGAGAATGAATTCTCGGACCCGGTAGTTATCAAAAAGGTCATGAAGAGTAGCAAACAATAGAGGAAGTAAGTCTGTGTCATAGGTCTACGTTCCATTAACCTCTTCGAACCAGGAACACCAATTAGCTTGAGTAACGAGACATAACGTACCAAATCCGCACCGAGTGCAACATCAAAACACAGATCTTCCCTTGCTATATCCTCAGTATCATCTTCAGCCGGATACCCCAACGGCGTTCCCCATTCCCAAGCTCCGACCCCAAACTGCCCGCCTAGCCCATTCCTCGCTTTGCTATCCTTCATATTCTCGATCAGTGTCCCCTCACGATCCGTCGCAAGCACAAATTGCGGCCGCAGGTACTTCGCCGCATACATTGACACGAACCCTGTTCCCGCGCCGAGCTCGATCACCCGTTTACCAGTCACATGGGCTGCGCCGGTGGGTGTGGAGAGGTATGTTCCGAGATGGAGGGAGGCTTCCCAGGTGCGGAAGCCAGTAGTGCCAGAGGAGTAGATCAGGCCGCGCGATTCCGAAGTAATCACTGTTTGGGGGCCTTGAGAGGTGGTGGTGGCAGGGGCGGTGTATTTAATGTAGGTTAGTTGTTGGGCTTGCTGGATTTGAGAGGGTTTGGGGAGGGAGATCAGATTTGTCCAAGTTTCAATGAGGTCGGAATTTAGTTCCTATCCAGGTATTACTAGTTAATGGTTTATTTTATGAAGCGCGGATGGTTCAATTGGTAGAAACATATAATAGTGTATATCTAACTATTATCTGTATTTCTAGAAATGGGCTCTGCGTACAGGTAGAGGAGCTTAGGATCGGACGTACATCCTCCTCCGGATCGGTGATTCCCTCTTCAATCCGTGCTATGATCGTCTTTAGAACGCGTGTGCGATAGCCCATTGGTGGGAGGGGCCATACTGCGGCCTCGTTGAACATATGCTCGTAGATGGCGCATTGTATGTCGGGACGGACGATGGTGGGAGTGTTGGGGAGAGAGAGATGAGTTAGGTCGAGTTGTTGAGAGTACTGCGCGGCAAGCTTCTTTAGTGAATGTATTTCGTTACCTTGAGACATTTTTGGGAGGAATATTTTCTCTTTGGGACTTTTTTTATACTCCGTTGAAAATGAGGGGGACGATCAATTGATAGCGGATAAGGCTGTCACGTGCACAGACCTACCGAAGGCGGGTTAGTGCGCCCTTAGCGAGCCCACATGCACAACAAGCAAAATTATCACTTTGGGATTTGACGACCGACCACTTCGAGCCCGCCAACGACAGCGACTTCGACAATCCCCCCCCAACTTCCTGTCCTCGTCGACGCAGATATTCGCTGCTACCGCAATAATGGCCGACGCTCCCGTTACCCTGCGGACTCGCAAGTTCATCCGCAACCCCCTGCTTGCTCGTAAGCAGATGGTCGTGTAAGCTCCCTGTTTTTTCCTCTGTCCGCTGTTCACAATCTTGCTTCCGAGGCCGACTTGGGATGGGACGGTTTGTTCTTCGGCAGACGAAATTTGTTGGTGTGAGAAAAACTTTGGATTAAGAGGGGGTTTCTTCTGGAGATGTGATTTTTTCTGGGGGGATATTGATTATGGGGCTTCTATAATCTTTTAAGAGGAGGCCCGGCAGTGATGGATCGGCGCTTGGAATATTTGCAAGAAAAGAAGAACGATGAGTTGAACATGATCTCTAATATGATTTGCAGTGACGTCCTCCACCCCAACCGCGCCAACGTCTCCAAGGATGAGCTCCGCGGCAAGCTCGCCGACCTGTACAAGGCCAACAAGGACCAGGTCTCCGTCTTCGGCTTCCGTACGCAATACGGTGGTGGCAAGAGCACTGGCTTCGCCCTCGTCTACGACTCCCAGGAAGCCCTGAAGAAGTTCGAGCCTCACTACCGTCTCGTCCGTATCGGTGCTGCCGAGAAGATCGAGAAGCCCAGCAGACAGCAGCGTATGCATTTCCTTCCCTTCTGGATATGGTATATCTGGGTATCGAAACAAGGCATGGGCTGATGTGTGATTTTCTTCCGGAATACAGGCAAGCAGCGCAAGAACCGCTCCAAGAAGTTCCGCGGTACCGCCAAGACCAAGGGCCCCAAGAAGTCCAAGAACTAAGCGCGCCCTCGACCTGTCGAATTCTGATGGATATGGATCGGATGGGAAGGATTGTTGGTTGCGGCCAGGGGCTAGTGCTAAAGCTATTGATGATAACCCTGTGGTGGTGATTGAGCGATTCGCATTCGCATATGCGATACACCATACCATACTAAAGCTATGTATGCTATGCTATGCAAATATAGTTATCATGCCATGACGATGACAGGGGGCAACCGCATCAATCACAATCAAAAGAAACAAAAAAAATATCAAATTTGAGATTTGGGGGTTCTGGATTCTTATATCTCATCTTTTCTACTTTATTTTGTTTCCGGGCTGGTGGATGAAAAATGTTTCTTTTTACTTTTATAACTCTGGGATTTACACTTTATTTACATCGGTGCTTTTACTATACAAGGGTTTGTTCCTGTTTTTCTTTTTTTTGGTTTGGAACACCTGTCGATGATGCATGGGATATCACTTCTTACTCTCCAACCAACTTCTCAGGCAGAAAGGCTTGTGAGATGTCAGGCACCCATGAGCTCATGTTCATGACCTGCATCGCTTCCCAGCCTTCCTTGGTGGTAGTTCTGGTGCTCGATGCGTAGCTTACTCGGCTCTAGTGTTGGCGATGTCTCTTCCTGGTTATCTATTTTTTAGTTAACGGGGAGTTTTAAATCCACTGCTAGCAGACCAGTACGCACCAGAAAGCCCTCTACTCCAACTCCTACCTCTCCCTAGTTCATTCCTCTACCCCAAAGTATGAAACCTTCCCAACCGAATCACGGCATTCTCAAACCCCATAGTTGCCGTAGTGTAACACAGGAACCCGCCGACCTCAAATTAGGTCAGTCAACTGGTAGGAACCATCCCTTGGAGACCACTGAACCCCTTGGGCACCTTCCCTCCATCGGGATTAATCCCCCCGAGCTCATTCATGGATGTGGATATTGTAAAAGGTCGAGTCGACTCCCGAATAGATGAAGCTTTATTTCCCCCCCCAACTTTGCCCTCTGATGAAGATGTACTTACTGTACTTAACTTGATTTTGCTCTGTACACACGAACTTTTTTTCCCTTCCTCTTTTCTCTTGATCCACTGCGTATGTACATACGTCGTACCTAGTGTAAATGGGAAACCAGATTAGGTAGACCAAGGGGGACACAGGGCTGAGAATGATTGGTGTAGAGACAGTAACTGGATCCAGCCTTGTTTGGCTTTCTTTTGCTTACCTAGGCATATAAGAAAATAGCTTTGGGGGACATGGTGGAGATTTTGGTGTACATTATTTCTAATATTCCTGAGTTGTAAGGTTCTGTTCACGAGCAACATGATCTGGTTTGAGAGGGCTGGCTTCGTCCGCCTCGGATCTATTCTTGAACTTTTGTCTAGTGACGGCTGTAGGATCAAAGAGAGGCTATTGACAATTTGTGTATCGATATTAAATATTTTTGTAACTGATAACTGTTTACGGGTTCTAGGGCTGTAGTTGGAGCTATGTAGGTTACATGCACAGGAAGCTTTGAACAGGAAAAGAAAAGCCCCAGCAGAGATAGAACCACCAAACGGACACAAGCATCAAACGGACTTCAAACAAGCCGCCGTTCACTCGAAAATGCCTCCCACCGTGGCCTAGCCTAGACCCCATATTATGGTTCACCAAAAGATAGAACGGAAGAAAGATGCTAAGGAAGATACAAAGATACCCGACCCGACAATCCTTGCCTACCCCGATATTAGTGTAACTTTTGGGTTTCCAGGACCGAGATCCGGAAAATTTGGGGGGAAAGAAATGAAAAGAAAAATAGAAAGATGTTGAAGGGTGTACAAGCAGGAGAAGTATTTGGAATCACCCAGAACTATCGGAGGGCTAAGAAGGAAATCAAGGGGAATGGTAAGAGAACAAACAGATCAATATTTGCACCAACTCTTGGCTGTCAGACAGCGTAATGACAAATAGCAGAAACAAACGAAACGAAACTCTACCAAAACACCGTGCAAAAACGTGTTGCTCAGCTCCCTCAGCCGTGGTCAGAGCGCTTACGCTGTAGTAACATGCACAGCCGCTTAGCACGCCTCGGAATAGAAGCCCCCTGGGTTACTCAAAGCTTGCGTCCGATGTGCTTCTACGGTTGCTCCGGGATCCGAAAGGCCGTCCGCTGCCGGCAAGCTAAAAGCTAAAGAGGAGGAGGTACTTTGGAGCTGCTCGGGAGGTCGCGTGTAAGGAAGTCCGTTCATTAGCATCCCGGAAGTGCCTGGTTTGGGTCCTTTTCTCCTCTCAGAGCTGCAGTAACCGTAAATGGTGGAGCTATCCTCCACAAGAGAAAGACGGGCACTCTCAGTCAAGATCGGCCTTCGCATTGGAGCTTCCTCGCTTCTCTGCAGCTCTTCGCCGGAATTCGCGGGGTTCAATCGAGTGAATGTGCCACAGGAGGGCATCAACGGTGACGAAGCACTGGCCGACGTCATTGGTGAATATCCAAGCACCATCTCCTGCGTGTTCGACGGGGGTGGTTTTGCCCGGTTTAGAGGGGCGGCGTTAAAAGGTTCGGGGGTATACTGTTTCATCGACCGGGCACTGTTGGCAGTAATGATAGCTTTAGGTGTCCAGGGGTGTCCAACCCTGCAGTCCTGTTGAGGAAGCCCGGAAATGGCATCGGACGATGTTGGGAGCACCGAAAGACCCGATTGAAGCTGGTTCCGCCCACTGGGGGTGGGAAGTGTCCGATCTGCTTCCTGTCCCGCAGATGATAGAGCAACCATCGAGGGCACAAAGCCCGTATCAGTAGATTGGGTTCCCGGCGCCGACATTATATAAGCGTAATCGGAGTGGTGAAACGTGCCCTGCGCTTCATGGTCGGGCAAAAGCCCTCCCCTAGTAACGCTAAGGCCAGAATGGCATGTCCTTGACCATGGGACTCCGTAGTAGTCTCCTAGGGCTCCTTGGGGTAATATCGTGGGCACCCCGTAGGCTGCAGGCTGTGAACCGTAAGCAGCCGAGGGATCTTCGTCATAATTGGCCATATGATCCTGACCAAAGCCTGGGCGACTATAGGACTGTTGAGGCTCGGTCGAGCTTATGCAAAAGGCTGGTGGTGGACGTGAGAGAGAAGTAACGCGGAAATTGGATGGATTCGCTGACAACAACTCTTGTCTTGTAGCCACTGAAGATATGTACGTGCCCTGTCTCTGGTGAGCTAAAGACAGTGTACCGTTCATAAACGAATACGGCCATCCAGTAGCCTTTGTCTGCAACATTGATGAATTGACCTTGGCTGTATCTTAGCTTATCGTAGAGGAATCCAGTGATTGGTGAAGAGGACTGACCCTTAAAAACTGGCAGTGCGTATTCCCCGAAGACCGACAATTTGAACATCCTTGGCCGTCGCCAATATCACCGCTGCACTTGATCTTCCTTTTCCGACATCTATTGCACTGCGGATGTCAGCTTCTTTATCCCCTTTCCTCGGGCAAAGGGAACTCACTGCTACGGGGATCCGTCGTCTGGTGGCGTTTCGACTCTTCTCTCCTTCCGGAATCGCAGTATTCGGTCCGATGATCCTGTCCACAACCATCTGCTGGCTGCTAGCCTGTGTTGGATGTGATAACGAGAGTACATCTTGTTGAGATTGCGGGTCGAAACCGACCTCGTCCTCCAGGGTGTAGAAAGAACGTGCCATTACTTTAGGTATCAGCGGCAAAGAAAACGCATTGGTTCCAGTTCTGAGACGTGCATAAAGTCAAAATAGGTACAGGAAATTCAAATATAATCAGTGGTTACCGGAAGTATCAAAGGTCAATGGGCCAGGAATGATAGCGGCCAACATGTTCCGCCGATCTTCGCGTATTGGAAAAGGGACCGGGGAAGGGCGAGGGGGATACAGTCGGAAGCGATGCCAGTTTTAAGTCAATGTGTCAGGTTTAATTTTCTGATTGCCCTTTTATCAGTATTTGTTTTTTCAAAAAATATCTTTTCTCTTCTGTTGGTCCGTTCAATGTATATTATTTCGACGGATGGTAACCAGATTCGGAAGAGCTCAAAAGCCAGGAAGGACTGCTAATTCACTTGCTGGCTCAAGCAAGTGGCTAAGTTGATACCTGGCTTTCTCGTTGCACTATGCAGAGTTCCGTCTACTTTATCCAAGTCAGTCGTCAAGTCGGTCGGGTCCGTAGACGCACCCTGATAGAAGGTCAGCCAGACAGACGACAGACAGAATTTCCCGGCGTTTTAAGAGGTTCTGTTTCACAAAGTAACGTTGCACGGGTGGACATGACCTGATAGTCGCCATAACGAGTCAGGCTGAGAGAGCCGGAAACCTTTCTGAGCTCTGCTGAGCCAATAGCCACGACCAGGGCTCCACAACCTTTCTCCTTGAACCACGGCCATCTTCAAATGGGTACATTTCTCTTCATAGATGGATCCTAAAGCAAAGAGAGGACTGGGACCGACCCCCAACACACATACATTTGGCAACAAGTGGGCAGCAGTCGATTACGTTTGCAAAAGCCTTGCAAAGCTGCAACCCCGTGGGTTGGCCGAGACGAGTATGGAGGTTGTTTGCCTTCATTGAATGGCGGTGTTATTGACCTATGGCTGGGCTTCCTGCCATTTTCAACGTCAAACATACATCTTCGTACTTTTGACACGCCGCCTATAATCTAGTGAAGAGTCGGCAGCCAGTGACGGCCATGAAAATCTTGGGAAACCCAGATTTTGCTTTAATAAATGAGTGGTGAGCTGCTGATAACACAAAGAGGCCCTTGCAAATGACCTAGCGCAAGAGCATTACGCTGGTGTCTCGGAAAACTCTGGGCTGGCACATCCTAGCCGTAGGACTGACGGCGATGCTTCGGCGCGATTAGATCATGCCAGTCCCAACGAAAGCAAATGTGGCTTAGTAGCCAAGACTGAGCCCCGAATGAAGCCCTGGCATAAATGGACCGACTTGAAACCTGTGTCCAGGTCACTGGGCTGGATCTGCATCTGTACATAGGCTGCGTGGCTGTCGCTCTCCAACCATCTAATGCCATCCCCAATGAATAGTACAGAATAAATCCAACCAAGCCGAAGAAATGTAGTGAGTATAGGAAGAGATATGGGATTACCGTTATGGTAAGGCAAAGTACATGAGATTGTTTAATACTACCAACCAATCCAACGAAATGGGAGAAATCTTGGACAGGAAAGCTCTGCCATGTATAAAGGTCAGGGGTGTGAACCGAAAGGATGTTCTGACATAGCAGATTTACATTTGTCTGCACATACGCTAACAAGGCTCCCTGGTGAGATTAGTTTCGTTTGTGGCAGACCTATTCAAGCAGACCAAAGAACCCAATGAGCTCCTTGTCTATAATTGACAGCCACAATCACGCCGAACCAAGGTTCGCTGACATAACGAAGGAAAAAGGAAGATACCAAATGAGCCATTTAGAAGGAAAGATCCGAAGCAGTCTGCAGACATCCTTTCCTTTCTTCCGAAGATGTTTGGTCGGAAATGGACCCATGTTGACAAACGGACCAGCCACCAGGTGCCAGGAACCAGTGAAACGTGCTTGACATTTGTTAGCGCTGGAGCTAATGATAATCTAGGGGCAAAAAAAAGAAAAGAGAAAAGAAAATATATTACTATTGATGGAAAAAAACAAATAAGACGATTGCGAGGTCGCAAAGGGTAAGACAGGGAAGAAGAGAACAAAAATATACTAAGATCGACCACGTGTTTTTCCCTT